AGCCGTTTAATACGGTGAAATAACACTTTATGAGATAAAATAATTCATGAGAAATTCTGAATTTCTGCAGTGAGATCACCCGTCCCTCCCCTCCCCCATCACCAGGACATCAGGGGTGAAGTGCAGCCGTTCCCTGATTCCCGATACTGACACCCCTATCTGGTGAGGTTCACACCTAGGCGACTCAGACGCCGAGCTGTTTTGCACGATTGTCGTGCGTTTTCGATTGTGCGACTGTTCATTGTAAACGTTGATTTTCAATGCATAGAGATGTCTATGGGACCCAAACCCAGCGACAACCGCCCGAAGATAGCGCCTGCCCCTTTTCGCAGTTTCAGTCGCGCGACAAATCGCAAAGGTGTGAGGAGCCTCCATCGACTTCAATGCGAATCTGTGTTTTGTGCGATATGTGTGCACCGGCCCTCACACTTCCGCCGTCACGCTCTACGTTTGTCTCGTTTCAGGTGAAGCTGGCCGAGGATCATCCAGCGTTTGTATTCGGCTTCATCTCTGGACGCAAAGTCAGCGACAGACCCGAATTCCTCCACCTCACGCCGGGAGTTCAGATGCAGCCGGGAGGTGAATCGCTTTTATCTCCGTTACATCTCGGCTACAATAGAAGATGCTTTGTACATTGCTGCATAAGTATTCACACCCCTCCCCCCTTTAAGGGGCTAATTTATAAAGCGGCGGTATGTCCTTATGATGGCCATACTGCTGCTTAAAGGAGAACTATGTGGTCAGGGCTTTTCCCCATAGTTCTCCTTAGGGTAACGGGAGGACACAAACTAGCGTCCTCCCGTCACCCTAGGCTCAGTATATAGGGAGCTACAGCTCGCGGTATACTGAGACGCCGCAGCTGCGTGAGTGACAGGTGGCTCTGCGTGAGTGACAGGTGGCTCTGCCTATCTAGAGGCAGAGCCAGCTGTACCCGCCCCCTCCCCCGTCCGTTCCGCCAGTCAGCGCTGGCGGATCGGAGCGGGGGGGAATCCAGCCCCTCCCCTGTCACGGCAGAGAGCCGTGACAGGATCGAGAGGTGAGCGAACGCCGGTATGTGTTCGCTCACCTCCCGATCTACTGAGCCGACCTGTGACAGTCTCATTGTCACAGGTCGGCTAGAACTATGAGGGGAGTGAAAAGCCCCCCCTCCCCCCTCATAGTTCTCCTTTTAAAGAAGAAAAAACTGTGCTTAGCAATGCAATGGACCTGTTTAAAAATAGCGGGAGGCTGGTCATGTGACGGGCTTCTCCTCCAATCACAGAGTTCTCTCTGCTCGCCCTCCCTGGGAATGAGCTGCAAAATGAATGTGTCGGTATTGAGCAGCATAGGGGGATATGGTGGGCAGCGATATCGGCTCTCCCTATGAATGGGGCCCCGGCCCCTCCTCCACCTTTGTTTTAAATGTATTGTTACATCATTTTCTGTTGCGCTTTACATCTATCGACGGCGGTCACGTGACTATAAGTGCGCGATCTGTCCTCGTTCCAACGCATTGTAGATTTCCTCCGCCGTTTCAGACCGGTAACGTGATCTTGTCTGTGTGGTCGTTGCAGGAGATGATCTGGGCCAGCGGTATCGGACGCCTCGTGAGGTCATCGCTAACAAAGGTTCTGACATCATCATCGTTGGCCGCGGCATCCTGTCCGCCAGCAGCCCGGCGGAGGCGGCGGAGACGTACCGCAGAGCGGGGTGGGAGGCGTACCTGTCTCGGATCAGCGGAGGACAATGATTGGTCGGCTCCGGGATGCAGACGCGATGAAGCAGCCGCATCCCCTAGAAGAGACCCCGGAGACTGAGAATTGGCGCGGGATAGAGGGCGGGGTCAGCGCCCCTCCCCCCCCGAGGACTTTGCACTGATGTAGGGGTGATATTTGTGGTACAGGACGCGGCACGGCGACTGACGGATCAACACTCCATCCACACACACCGCTCGCAGATCTCCCATTGGTCAGATCACCTTCCGAATATTCCAATCCCATAGTCAGTGAGGTGAGGAGGAGGAGGAGGAGGAGGAGGAGGATTGAATTCTCAATTTCCTCAATAAATCATTTCGGTTAGACAGAATTAGTTGTCTTTATTGATCTGCCACTCGCCGGCCCTTATGTCTGGGGGGGAGGGGTTCGGTCTGAGCCACCTACAAAGTATGCTCAACATACTATGTTCCCAGGGGCCCCGGCCTATGCCCAACCCCATGGGCCATGAGCGCTAGCAGGATCAACAGAAAAAAAATACTAGGGACAGAACTTTATTGTAAATGAGGAATGGAGGGAATGTACTACTGCTCACATCAGCCCAGCTGCTTCGATATCACCATCCTCTGGACAAGGGGTGACAACTGCCCCTGACTCATTCACGAGGAGCCCCCGTCTGCAGACTCCCGCGAACACTGGCCCAGGGTTGTGGGGATGAGGCCCAAAATGTGCAAACTGCAGATCCTTCAACGCTGCCCGGGCCCCCCCAACCCATACTACCAATGACACGTGACCTGTACCCCGCCATCTCCAATCCATACTACCAATGACACGTGACCTGTACCCCCCCATCTCCAATCCATACTACCAATGACACGTGACCTGTACCCCCCCATCTCCAATCCATACTACCAATGACACGTGACCTGTACCCCCCCATCTCCAATCCATACTACCAATGACACGTGACCTGTACCCCCCCATCTCCAATCCATACTACCAATGACACGTGACCTGTACCCCCCCATCTCCAATCCATACTACCAATGACACGTGACCTGTACCCCCCCATCTCCAATCCATACTACCAATGACACGTGACCTGTACCCCCCCATCTCCAATCCATACTACCAATGACACGTGACCTGTACCCCCCCATCTCCAATCCATACTACCAATGACACGTGACCTGTACCCCCCCATCTCCAATCCATACTACCAATGACACGTGACCTGTACCCCCCCATCTCCAATCCATACTACCAATGACACGTGACCTGTACCCCCCCATCTCCAATCCATACTACCAATGACACGTGACCTGTACCCCCCCATCTCCAATCCATACTACCAATGACACGTGACCTGTACCCCCCCATCTCCAATCCATACTACCAATGACACGTGACCTGTACCCCCCCATCTCCAATCCATACTACCAATGACACGTGACCTGTCCCCCGCCATCTCCAATCCATACTACCAATGACACCCGACCTGCACCCCGCCATCTCCAACCCATACTACCAATGACACCCGACCTGTACCCCGCCATCTCCAATCCATACTACCAATGACACGTGACCTGTACCCCGCCATCTCCAATCCATACTACCAATGACACGTGACCTGTACCCCGCCATCTCCAATCCATACTACTGTCAGACGTCGGAGCTGCTCGGTGTAAAGTTCGGGAACTTGTTCCAGCTCAGCCGTCGCTTCCCCTTTAATAGAGAGGTGGAGGCGAGGGGAGCCGTGCCAGGGCCCTCCGTGTCATTACTCATGTCGGGTGGGGCGAGTTCTGGGCGCAGTCACTGAGCTTCTTAAAGCCGAACTGTCGGCAAATCCAAAAACAATAAATTCTGTTATTTCTGAGATATAAACTTCATTTTAAAGGATTTTTACAAAGAACCAATAAGTCTTTATTCTGGCCTC